TGATATCAAACTTGTGACCCATGATTACTTTAATTAAAGTGTTGAGTTTGAAACAGGGATGTTTTGTTCTAGTCTAATTTAGTTTTCCAGATCTTCAGAATGGAATTATTTGTCTTTCTTCACCTGTGAAAATAGGAACTGAACAAAGGCGTTCTATTTTCTGAAAGAGTTGAAGAAGTGTATGGTAGATATTTTAATATTCTGTAGTGTTTTCTCTATGCTGATACCAATCCTCATTATTTTAATTGGGATATCCTGTAATGGCTTTAGAAAATTGTATATAGTTAATGGGGCTCTCCAAGTGAGACACCCCAATTTCTACTAGGAAATTTTTATGAAGTGGAATTTATTTGTGCCTTTACTAGGTTCAACTTGAGTCACCCTCTAGTGACTGTCTCCAGGTTGGGGTACACAGTAGTGATGGAGGAGGGGGGATTGTTAGAAATCACTTTGTCAGATTGTGCTTGCAAAACTGATTCTTAGACGCAGGAGCATTAGAAAATGTGGTACTGAAATGCTGGCTCCACCAAATGCTGAAATTTCAAGCAACTGGGGCTTAGTTTTGAGGGGGGAAAAATGTGTTAGTGTAACTACATCTGCTTCTAGGTAATGATGACTCTGTCAAGCTTACAAACCTGAAATAGGTGTTGGCTTAACCTATTACTATTAGCATAGATAGTCTGCAGGCTTAGGGCTGAAATAGTACAACCAAACTATACATTGCCCACAGATGTTAAACTGCTCAAGCATCCTGTTCATAGATGGGGAAAAAACAAAGACGCAGGAGTTATATGTATGGTTTGGAAATTATTGTTGATAATCCAGGAAGCCTGTACTATGGACCCATATTTGGAAACTCAGGGGTTCATGTTAGGTTTCTAGAAGGTTCCTCAAAACCTCTTAAAAACCCTTTTAAGATCTTAAAAAAAAAAAAAAAATAGAGGGGTTCTCATTTGACTTTATCAGATTGTGGGGGTGAGAAAAATAATCATCTGCTCTCTGACCAGTTGTCTTACATAGTATAAATGATAGATAAGTCATTCAGTTCAGTTTTGGACCAGGTAGTGAGCTTTTTAGATAAAAATTTTTCATAATGGAGGCAAAAAGTGATTGTCCGGTTCCTTTAAAATACGAAGATGATAATGTATTTCTGACTGACTAAAACAGTGGTGTAGGCTTTTGCTGTCCATAAGCATTGAGTCTGCTCTCTCATTTTTGCCAGTGAATCTTGGAGTCTTTCCAGTCTTTAAAGTGAAATACATGAATGTGGTTCATCACTTAGAATGTCTCGATTAAGTTGCCTCTTTAGCCAACCTTCAAACTAGAATCTTCTAACTTGCTACTGGATCCTTCCCTCAAAGGTCCATGTCACTTCTGTGCTGGTGATTCAGAAGGTCACAGTGCTTCAGCACAGTGTCTCACAAATGTCGAAGTCAGATGATGACTATTGATATATGCAGTGTTTTTGTTCATGTCTCAGTGGTGTGAAATAAGATACGGGTGACATGGGAAAGAAGAACCTGTTCTCCATCTGTGTGCTAGGCACATCAGAGTAACCTAGCAGCTGATTAGGTTAAAAAATGACATACTGTGCAAGATGGAATTTAACGTTCAGAAGTGTCTGCTAAATAACTGTATTATTTAACAAGCTAATTATGGTTCTTTGCCTCCAAACATGACCATTGAACTAATTTGCCTGAGGAGATTGCAGTGTGGTAGCAATAACGAAGCTGTTGCCACAGTGCCTTGGTACTGCACAGTTAGTTGATGGGTACATCCTTTAACGTGTAATTGCATTTCAGCTGTTCCTAAAAACAAATGTGTTTAACCGTGTGATCATAAAAAGAAAATTTATATGTAAATGTTGTGAATCTTTTATTTGGTAAGCAGAATGTCTTTTAACTTGGTACCTTGGGGAAGAAACTATAGGATTAGGTCTCATTGCTTTGCTACCAAGTGTACCTTCTCAGTCCCCTTTTGCACTCCTTATTTTCCCCAGGGGAAAACTGATTGAATAGCTGTTCTCCCTGCTCTGTAATAGACGGGGAGGATGGCTCAGAGAACTAGGGATCTAGAAGTAGAGTAGGATGGCTAAAATAAAGAATAACTGGTATAGAATTACTGGCAGGGCTTCTTGGGTTGAGAGTTAAGGAGGTCATCTTATAAAGTGGGGGAGTTCCAGAGATATCAGCTGGGGCTAGCTACTAGTCTAGAAATGCATTAAATAAGTCTTCTGAGGTGGTTGGATTTTCTCTGCAACATAAGGGCTTCTGGAGGTGGAGAAAGCATGGTAATAAGAGCAAAAGGTAATCGATAGAAGTCTTGGGAAACAAATTCTACCATGCTTTGTCATTGATCTGTTACATGGAATCTGTAGTTAATAGTTTTATTCGAGTAATCTGTCTTCTTCCTACTTAAGTTGGTCCTTGGGCTTGATACTCTTAAAACTTCTGGTTATTTCACCAGTAGAAATATGTTTTAAGAGGTAGTCAAAAGGTATGGCAGGCTAAAATGCTGAACTTTCACTGATCTTAGTAAAAAAATGTTTGACATACTTGCTTTGAAGTGCAGAAGTGAATCCAGTTCAAGGTGTGTGTATATAAGGCCTGAGAGAAGTGTAGATGGAAGGATACAAATCACAGATTTGTTTGGGTATGTCCTAAACAGGTACATCAAACAATCCAATTTAGATTAAGGTATCTATCTTAATGTAACTGGGCTTAGAAGGCTGTTGGGGGGTATCTGTGATGTCTCTAAGAAATCAATACGTTACAATTTTATAAGATAGGTTAATATTGGACATAGCTATTGCAGTGACTGGTAGTGCCTGTTTTTGTGAAGATAAAGTGATTAACTAATAGACAGTCATTCAGATTTTCAGTATTTTTCAGATGGGACTAAAATAATGTTTAAAGTTCCTTATAGAAAGCTGCATTAGATCTATGAAGAATAATGCTAAATACGTACTTAAGCAGAATGCCTTATATTTGAGTCTGTTGTACTCTCAAGTGGCTTTAAGGGACAAACCAAAGCAGATCAGATAGTATATAGCAATCAGTTTTCTTTTCTTGACTGTCTCCATGGCTCTGTCCATATTTAGCTTTCACGGGTGGCATCCAGATTAGCTTGGCATGAGCATAAACTGCATGGAGTTACTATGCCTTATTTGTACTGTACTTCTCCAGAGGTATCACTAGAATTTCAGGGTTGTGTCTCTGTTTTGCTTTCGTTAGATGCAGTATGTTTGATTCTCTGATCCTTCATGAAGGAAAAGAGGGAAGTAATTTGGATATAGGTGGCATCAGGACTTGCTTGAAGACAGAAAACATCAAGCAGTCAACTTGACCTGTTTGCAGTGAGAATATCGGTTAACTTGTCATCCTGAGTGAAAGTTTGCTTGGACTTTAGCCTCCAAACTTTGAACTGCCTAGTCCAGGTTGGTGGAGGATCACAAATAAACTTGTGATAAATTTGCGCATAGACGACATTGGTAGAGCTCTTCCAAATAAGAGTGTGGGGCTCTTCTGTGTTTTGTTCTGTTTTCCCAATGAGTTGCTAATGTCATAGGGTGGTCTGTAACTAGGATAGTCGGGATACTAAAGGGCTACTGAAGTCTGCTGCTACTTCTGAAAAAGTCTTAAAAAGTGTTTGACTTCTGGTGTGAAGCAGTCTTCTATCTTGAAGGATGTTAGCCTGACATGACACCTTAAGGTAACTGTTTATGTGTTGTTTAAATTAGGTTTTAAAACTGCAGGTATGTGCTGCTGTAGAGATACAGGTTTTTTTGGTATAGGAAAACTTGATTGGTTTTGGTTTCACATAACTGTCAATATATTAAGCGATACTTTCTCTAATTTTCTATTGTATCAAAGCAGTATGTTCATAGTTTTTTGTGTTTTACTCCAATAGCCTGTGGAATTGAATAGCTGATTTCTGTTGGTGGACCTTCGGGAAATAAAGGCACTGAAGGCTGACTTGCAGTTTGGCCCTCAAATAGCAAGAAAGCGTTGTTGGAATAGTGAGCCTTTGCGCTAGGGAAGGAAAGAAGACCTTAAGGAATGTATACATAATTTCCCTGTTGACTCATGCATGTGATTTGAGGCAGGAAATGAAAACGTGTTTCTGTTATGAATGTCACTGAACAGTCAAACTGGAAGTTCTGAGTAGCTGTTGAAATGGCTACTTGAAAGCAGCTGATTTCATGCTAGTCTACAGCATGGAGAAGGTGTTGCTTTTAACTTTCCAGAAGTTGTGGGCATTATGAAATATCTTTTCTCAAGCTTCTGTTTGGAAGAACAAATTGTTGCCAATTGGATGTTTATTGACTTGAATTTGTTATGCCTGAAAGTGCTGTAGAATTTACCATATAATCCTTGCTTAAGGTAAATTCAGTTGCTTTCTTTAAAGCACTGGTAAAGACTGAAAGGTGGTAGTGTGGTGAGTGGAAGACTAGATTAGAATAAAAAAAATTGTCCAAATAGACAATTTTGTAGTTTATTTCCTGTTTAATGCTGCAGTGTTTTCTTATTAACAATTTTGTCTTTGCACTGTTGGAGTCTCTTTTCCTCTTTCACCATGGAACATATATACGAACTGCTATTTGATCTGGTAGATCAGATTAAACCCCAAACTAGCAGTAACATTTCTAGAAATAGCTCAGTGGCAAACATTAAAAGCAGGCATTACAAACTGAATAGAAATTTGTCCTTAGTAATAAATTATTATTTGTACATGTCTTGACCTTTCTTTCCTAACCTAAGTTACTGAGTAATGAATAACATTATTTCCTGTGTTTCTGTTTAGGGGTGGAAAAAAAAAATGTTGCCTCATTTGTTTCCTGCTTTATGTTTTCCTTTTTTTTTTTTTTTTATTTATTTATTTAATTGAGGAAATAAAAGGTGGTAGGACAGAAATAGTATTGCCATTCCTTAATCACTACTTGTAAAATAAAACTTCCTGTTATTTTTGTAAAGCCTCTTGTGTATAAAGTGATTTGCAGAATCTGCTTCCCATACACAGGGTAGGAGTAGTAGTGTGGTGGCAAGTTTGTTAACATTTAGCTGAGAGTTACCACCATATATACATCTGCTGTCCTAGTTGTATTTGAGGGTATAAAGTGGGATAGGTGCAGTGTCTTTCTTCCTGCTGGTGTGAGCACTGCAGTGAGGAGCATAGGTGGACGTTTCCGTTCTGTCATCTTTGTGTCTCTCTGGTTTCTGTTACAAAATAGAAAGAGGAGAAAAAACATTCTGCCTTGGCATATTCTTGGAAGACAGCAACATCAGGTCTTCCACATGACTTTACTGCAGTCCTTGAGCATAAATCCATAGGAGGGGGTCTAGAGCAGGTAAAATAGCAGTATCTTAATTGGTGTGCAGATCAATGCTCTGAATGATCCCTATCTGCTGTTTACATAGTAGAGTGAGAAAAAGTTTAGGCTGGTCTTTGTCATGGGAGGAAGAAGACCCCTTGGGAGGGAGACACACTAGTTTTTTGCTTTCTTTCAGACCCGTCTGCAAGTGTTGAAAAACTTTCATTTTATGGGCAGATACTGAAGCCCATTAGCAGTTATTTTAAAAATTCTTGTCCCTCTGTGACACTTCTATTGGAGGTCAAGGGAATATGAAAACTCAGAAGTAAAGATCAGTAGTCCTAACATCTTAGGGTAAGTATCTGCCACTCCTCTGATAGTCTTGCTTTGTTACCCACTGTGGTTGAGATCCAAAGTGGGTATGGTGGAGGTTAGTCTTGAGGAGATAACGTGAATTAAATATTTAGACATCGTTTCAGTGAAAGTGCATTATCTTTCAAATGCAGCCAGCATTCATAGGATTGTTCTACTTATTTATTTGTTTGTGTTTAAGTAGATATGCAACTTCTGCGCCTTTTTTTTTTTTTTTCCCCCACTTTTTTTTTTTTCCTGTGTTCTTCATGCTGTAACAGTACGGATGTCTTTGGCTCTTTACCATTAGTGTGGAAATCTGGAAGTGCAGTGTATTCTTGTAAGTGTGCAGCAATAGTGAATTTCTGTTGAGATGCAGCCTAATAACTTACATGCTGTGTTGATCTTTAGTATGTATTGAATTCAGTATTTTGTGTATTTCAGATGATAAAAAAGATATTGACCATGAAACAGTGGTGGAAGAGCAGATCATTGGAGAGAATTCTCCTCCAGATTACTCAGAGTACATGACAGGGAAGAAACTTCCTCCTGGTGGAATACCTGGCATTGACCTCTCAGACCCCAAACAGCTGGCTGAATTTGCTAGGTAAGTAGGAAAACGAGATTTTTAAGCTAAAATAGTTTTCTTTTCACAGGTTTAATTATGAAAATGTGTGGCAAAATAAATGGTAGATTTAGTATGGCTTATTGTTGCATTTAATCATCTTCTAAAACAAGGGACTTAATTCAGAACAGTGGCTGATACCTTGTTGAAGTAACTGAGGTTTATGTTCAGCAGTGACTTCTTCAATGACTTCTGGTTTTTAGTTCCTGTTGGGTGAGACAGAACCTAAATACATCAATAGACTGCATCTTTGACATGACGGAATGTATCTTTCACATGAGTAATGTTAGATTGTGCAGCACCAAAGGGTCTGATAAGTGAAATGCTGCATTATGGTTGTTCAGTACAAGAAAGCTAGAGTACAATATCTGGTTTGTAAAGCCAGTTACTGTTCTTTTTCACCTGCTCCTTAATTCTTAAGCTCTAGGTCATCTTTTTAATGGAGTCATGTGTCTTGCACTTTAAGTGCCACGGGTAATTGTTGTTTCACAATTGGTAACTATACTGCTTGGATTTTCCTCTAGTGAATCAGAATTGTCACTTGTTTACATACCAATACGTTGACCTGAGTTACAAGGTGACTTTTACTTTCAAATAGAGGTGAAATGAGGGAGTACCGAAAGTGTCATGTGTCTCCTCTCTCCGTCCCTCCGCAGAGCCCCCGGCTCTGATACTGAGTGTTCAGGGCAGCCGGTGGCCACCAGAGGGCAACCGTGAGGCCACCAGAGAGGTCTGCTCTGGCACCTGGAAGCTGTGACATTAGGGTTGACTTTGCAGCGTTTACGTGGCCCCCATCTTTGTGCGCATGTGCTCGTGATTACCAAAGACATACTCCTTCACTCAGTGCACGGGCCGCGTTAATGCTGCTGTCTTCAAGTGTTTGAGCACAACTGTTAGTTTCCTGCAGCAGCTATAATCAGTTTTTCCCATGTTGAAAGCAAAACATACGTATAAAGCTACACTCATTTTCATTTTATTACCAACTGGCTATTCTTCAGAGTTCTGGTGCACAGTTCTGACACTTAGAGCAGGTCAGATGATGTTACTCCCTGGGTCAACTAGTAGAGGGAGAAGTGGGGTTTTTTTTGGTTTTTTTTTTGGTTTTTTTTTTTTTTAAATACCAGCTAGTTGCTGGATGGCAGGGACTGTTGAGACAAGTTTGGTCTGGCATCTTAGGTGAATCTTCGTGTCCAGTGTGTGCACCTACTCTTGTTTCACCTCTTTGATCTTGCTGCTTTTTACAAGGTTGTTCTGTTACTCTTCAGTGTGCTTATTCCAGGGGAATGCCAGCACAGCCTCGTCCCACAATTATTTTCTGTAAAGCCACTGAACTATGGATTTTGAAGGCTCCGACTAAGATAGTTTTGCAGGACTTGCTCTCTGCTTCAGGCTATTTGATCTGGAAACGTATAAAAACACATCACAAAAACCTGAAAATAGGGTTTTATCTAAAGTGGTGGGTGATTCTAGCTATTGATAACTGTACAGTTGTTGATCAGAATGATTGTGTTTTCCTGAGACTTGGCAAAAAGTTAATGCAATTTTTCCTTAAGGCAAATGTTTAAGTGACACTCAGTATACACAGTGTTCTAATTCTAAAATATTACTTACACGTCTCTGTTCCTCATGTGCTTAGAATGGTATTTTCAGTTATTTTAAAACATACTGAAACCTTTGGTTCTATTAAACATTTAAGTACTGAATAGCTGTCTTTTGTTAGGAAGTTTTAAATAGTTTCTCATAGGATATTCCCCATGCAAATGCTGAATATTTTTGCTCCAGATTGGTCTGAATACTTGAAATGGTTGCAGGATTTGGGCTTCTTGAAATGATCATATTGCTTCTATCAGATCTGCCCGCATATTTCTTAATATTGTAAAATGTACTGCATCTTTTGGGTTTTAGTTAGTTTTCTGTTGAGAAAATAGTGACAGCTGGCAGTAATTTAAAATTACTGCTTTTTTTTATTCATGGTTGAATGTTCTAGGAAGTTCTAGAGCTAGAATTTGTAGCAGATGATGGAAAGATTCGTACAGTCTCTTTTCTGTTTATATATTTCTGTACAGCAGATAAAATATAATCCACCTAAGTCATAAGACAAATTATACTGTGGTAGAGTAAGCAACTTGGGGGGACATCACCTTTAGCAATATCCCCAAGTTGCTCAAAACCTATGAAGAATTTTTCTGATAGCTTGATTTTAGATACGTGAAAACTTCAAGCATCTTCTGTTTTAAGAAAGGTTTTTTTGATTTCTTGGTCAGAATCAATGAGTGTTAAACTTATGCCTTTAAAAAAAATTGGAAAACTGTTAGTTGTATGTTAGATCTTAGATGATTGTGCATAGCTGAGGCTGAAGAATATGGGTCTATTAGAATGGGAATATTGTGTGTTATGGTCTTGGTCCTCTTGCAGTGAAGCATGTTGAAGGGGCTTGTAGATTGCTGTGTGCTGCAGTATCACTAGAAACTAGTTTGCATGGCAAACTGGAATGAAAAACTGGGTTTCCATGTACTGGAATGGGGTTTGGAGGTCCTAGGTATACAGTTGTTCATGCTAAAAGAATGTATTTATTTAGTGTAAAGTTCTCTGATAGTTTCAAGCATTGCTGGTTGCTTTACAGTTCAGAATTTTGAAATTCTCAGTAGCTGTATTCTGAAAACTGAGCAGCATGTGAAGTTGAAACTGTTTCTTTTAAACCTAGTGAGTAGCTTCGCATACTGTAAGGTTTTGAATAACAAATTTGTATTTTGATGACTTGAAAAAAGAGTTGTGCACATGTAAGGAAACATGAACTGGCTAGTAAAATTGTATGCTAAATATATTTTGTTTAGTTGAGAGCAAGTTATTTTGTGTTGTGTTCCTGTTTCCATTAAGGTAGTTCAAGGAATCTCAGTATAGTTTTGTAGAAATTAGCTGCTCAGAACCAGGCTAGATTCACTGTTTATAACCATGCAGCTAATTTTGATTAAGGGTAATTTGACTGAGACATTTGCATTGCTCTTTTTAGGAGTAAAGTGCCACGGTTAAGTTTAAATGGGCAAAGCTTTAATTCTAGTGGTAACAGATTTCAGGCAAGGTTCTGGAGTTCTAATGACAGTCTGGTTAGTGAGAGGTAAGGCAGGAGTGGACTTGATGCTCAAAGACCTGTGTAGCTCTGCAGCCCTTTTAAAACAAACAAACCAAACCAAAAAACAAACTGTAGTAATTCAGCATCTGCAATGGACACCACTGCTGCTTACCAGCTAGGTAGCACTACCAAGGGGAGCAGTTATAGAGTCTCCTGTGATACAATTGTCTATCACGGCTTTTTTTAGTGAGTTTGTCATTGAGTCAGTAGAAGAAATCTGTATCTTTTTAACTGGAGCTCAATAGTTTTTCCTGGAAAGGCTTTTATACATTCTGAAACTATTGAAAATACTGTGAATAAGCAAGCCGTGTCAGAACATTAATATGTGTTCAGTAATGCATAGACAAATGACCATAAATTATATCCGGTTGGGCAATTTATTGCCTTTCACAAATTATTTAATTCTATTGTAGGACTCGTGCATTTTCTCTAATATGCATTAAAAATGCAGTAAAAAAATGACTTGTGGATTTCTTAGGCAATCATATCAGAATGTGAAACGTTAGTTGTGAATGATCTGCTCAGAAAGAAATTAAACCTAAAATAAATTGCCATGTTCCCATTTGATACCTTTGACTGGGACACTGGAAATCCCTTCAGGTGAAATAAAATGTTTCATCTGAGTCCAAAATGATTACAAGTAATTCTGTAGTTAGCTGTGAAGAAGTCATAATTGCTTAGTGATAAAAGCTTGGGAAAGTATCAGACGCACTTCTAGTTGATATACACGTGGCAAGTTCCCTCAAACAAAGCCACTAAAAAGGACATCCTTGATTGCCCTCTTCTTCCCTCTTACCTTCCAGACAGATACATGACAATCTTTTGCTGTTCTTAGTACCTTTTCTGAAGGAGAGCCATTGTGAAGACTGCCCTTCCTTTCTATCCACTTTACAAAATGAACAGAAAATAAAAGAGAAGAAGCTACATTAAGAGTTTGAAATCTGACAACTATCTTAAAAGTGACAAAGCATTCTGGTCGCCTAGATTTATGATTTAGGCCTCTTTATAAGGTATATGTTGGTTTTGCTCTTGTTACAGAGAAGCTTAAAGGGCAGTAAACTGACAGTTGCTTTACCCAAAGTGTTGTTCTAGGGGAGAGGAAACCTCTTGCTCTGTACCACACTGTAAAGGTCACTCTGTTTACACCTATGATACTCTGCATAACTGGAACAAAACCAGTAATTATTTTTGCCAGAGTCTTGGAGAGCTTTCTTTTTCTCTTTATTTCCCTTAGAGAGCTTTCTTTTTATGACATTTTCCTACCTAACTGTAACCAAAGTATGGTAAGACATTGGCTGTGAGCTCCTTAGTTATAGATATTCCTAGGATGCCTTACACCACTCCCATTCTGTCTGTTTATCCAAAAGCCAGTCTAGCCAGTTTCAGGAGTTCTTCAACACAGATGAATTCTTGCAGCAGCATAGGGCCATGACGCTCATGTTATTTCTGCCTCAGCAGGTCAGTACAAAGGGTGTGGCGGAGTGAGGGAACAGATCAGAAGTGGCAGTGATACTGCTGATAGAGAATCGTTTCCTCTTCTAACTATTCTTAGGGATGCAGTCACCAGCACCGGTGAATATAACTGCTGGTCATCAGAGACCTCTAGGACATGTCAAAGGAGTTGTCTGAGACTCTTTAGGTTACATTTCTTTATGGAGGGAGAAGAAAGGATGTGAGAACACAGAATTTTAACAGGCAGAAAAGGGGGATGACGGAACAAGGGAGAAATCCTGTGCTCTTGTTTGATTTTTGGCTTACGAATTTCCTTTATTCCTAGCCTTAACACTGTTTCTGTGGCTAACTTTTAAAATTGGATCTATCCACAAGACAATAGTTGTGGAGATTGACAGAGGTTTTGAGTGGGGATTGGTTCTGTCAAGGTACAGTTCTTTCAGTTCAGCTGGGTAGATGAAAGGAGATAGTTAGCTCTTACTTTCTGATATTGCACTGTGACAGAGTTGCTTGCTTTATTTTGAGGAAATGAGTGGTTTTAATATCTGTGATTTCACTTAGTCTTTATGTGTGGGTAAGAGCATGCTTTTATGAAGCTCATCCTGTGAAGCTGTTGGGTTGCACACCTTCCTGCTCTCTCTGTTGACCTCCATTCCTTCCCTACACTCCCTGATACAAATTCACAGAGTCTGTAACCGCAGTGTCCCAGTGCCTTGATCCCAAAGGTACACTTGCTAGTCTTTTGCAGTTAGCTAGTCTGCAGTTGCTACTACTAGGCATGGCCCATATAAACTCTCTGCAGAAATGAAAATTCTGGTCTTGCCATGTAAATTGACTTTCTGCAAAGGCAGCCATTTCAGAAGTTCCACTCAGGTTTTAATGTGCGTGTCTGTAGTTGTTTTGAATAGTGGCATATGTTAGAGTTCTGTTTTTGATTAATGTTTCAGGCTAAGAAAACTTGGACGGAGCTGGTAGAGATGCTCTACTAGGTGGGAGCCAAAAGTCTTAACCACCAGCAAGAGCTACCTGCAACAGTGTAATTAAGATCAACAGCCCAGGTTCTAGTCTGGTCTCCTTTTGCAGAAAGTTTAAATTTTAAAGTAAGACCAAAATCTTTTTTCTAATACATTTGAATATGTAAGTCTTTAAATTCTTTTTGAGTGATTGTCCATATGGATTCCACAGCCTCGTGAGCAAGTTGACATTTTTGACAAAATGATCTGTTGTAGCTATGCCTGTGGTGTACATGGCCTCATGCCTCTAATTCAAGTGTGTGAAGGACCCAGCAGCTTCTTGCTGCCTGTGGCACTGAGATACAACCCGGGCACTGCTTGCTGCTTCTTCCTGTTGAAGTGTCTGCTTCTGTTTTGTTGAATAACTTGGTTGCCTGTGGAACCCTGTGCTTATATACAGTCTTGTTCCAAATTGTAATCTTAAATTGCCTACTTTCCATGCTTCCAGGAGAAATGAAAATACTTAAAATCTGCCCCTTTATTAGTTGAACTTTTGTTGTTCTTTTGTAATCAATAGGCACTAAATGTTTTTACATTCAAGTATACTGCTGGGCTGATGCTCCTCACTTTAGAAACAAACCTTGAAAATTAAAAAGTCAGCTTATTCCAGAATGGACACTCATAATGTTACATTCCTGCTCAGACATTGAACTGAAACATGTAAGGTGTGTGTTAAAGCCCCATTCTGTCCCATGCCTGACCATTCAATTTAGCTGTGATTTGGTTCTTCAAGCGTCCTGAATATACTAGCCAGTGTATTTTCCCTCTTGGGCTACACTTCAGCAGCCTGTTACAGATGATGCTGTTGCAGCACTTTTTAATCAAAGGTTGACTTGATACCAGGGATGAGACACAGGAGTTAAGAAAGGTGATGATATTAACGTGATGCTTTGTGGGATCTTATGCCAAGGGTAAAAAATGCAGGTGCTGCCCACTAAAGCTATTTACCACATCTCTTATAAGTGATTTCTTTTCTGTCTAGTCTCTTGTTTTTACAGATGGTCAATTAAGTCTTCAGAACAATAGTGATTTTACTCACTATGATGATGTCACAGACACAGATCTTGAGCCTAGGAGTTTTTTACTTTGTTTTTTGAGAGCTGGGGCATGAGTTGGCCGATGTTTAACAAGTTGATAGAGAGAGAAATAAAGGAGGTGTTTTTGGAACCAGCTTTATCCCCTATGGGTGTTTGTTCTCTAATCACATTAAACCATGACACCGTGTTCTCTCATGTGCTGTCTTGTCAAAGCATTCTTCTGTGTGTCCATTTTGGCATAACGATGCTCATTTCTGTGCCTTTTCCTTTGTAGAAATTGTAGAGTCATAATGAGGAGAATCCTGTGCAAAGGGTAGTTGAAAGCTTTCTGTAGGAGTACTGCAAGGAAGCTTTTGTGTGTGTGTTTTCCTATGGCCTCAGTATTGACCTGTTGTACTAGCAGTCTAGAACCTCACTGGAGAGTGTAGTCAGTTAATCCCAGTCACTTGTTTGGATTTAGGTATTTAATTCTTCTCTCAGAGAGGCTGCATAAACTAAACACAGCACAATCATTCTGTATTCCAATTGGATTATATAAATTAAATCTAATCAATAAGGTCATCTAAATTGGTCTGTAATCCTGGAAAAGTTATCAGGAAGATTACTGGTCTATAGGAACAGATATAGTTTGCTCTGAAATGGGCAGGATGTTTCTGCCTTGAAATTGAAGAAATATTCAGGATGTTTGTGCCCTGCAATTGATGAAATATTTTGGTGTGCTGCTGGTGATGGTTCAAGAGGAGCTTTGTCAACACATATACTTCACACCCATCTTCTAGGAGCTGTTAGTATCTGTAAATGAGGGAATTGTTGGATATGATACTCTCCAGCTTCCATATTTTTATCACACCTGTATTTTTAACCATGCAGGAGATAGTGTTCTTCAGTTAGCACTGTACGTATTCAGTGTAGTCTGGAGATGCTGAGCCAGCAGGAGTTTCCTAAGTGTCCACTTAGAGAAAAGAACAAATGCAGCCTCTAAATCCTTGGATTTTAATGTTGTGGCTGTCAGGTGCTTTAGTCTGTATGTAATAGCTTGAACTGTGCTGCATCTGCAATACTGAGAGGAGCCAGATTGTTTGAGGGACAGATGATGGCCCACCGAGCCATGGGAGACTTCTGTATCACATACGACTCCACTGGAAGCTGCAAGATTTTCCTGGCTCCAGTCTCCAAGACTTCTCATGGGGGTTTTGCACTGCTCTTGCCTTGATTGAGCCTCACAAGGCCTTTCATTGCTATCTTCTCTTCACCTGTCCACATGAAGGCGACATGTGAAACAGCGCATTTCAGCCATACGTATCGGAATGTGACAGTACCAAAGAAGGCTGGACCCTGCCTGTAAAGAAACAAATGCTCACGTGGTCAAATTGGAGAGATTTTATCTTATATTCCATACAGCTCTTGGTAGCTGTTTTGAACATTTAGAAGTTGCTGTATAGCCAGTCTCAGATCAATTATTAAAAATACATGTAAAAATATACATGTATGTACTACTTGGAAATCTCTTCCCCCAACCCTGTTCTTCCATAGCTGTTTTCAGGAACTGAGCTCATGGGAATTAAAACTGTCTTGGATAGCAACAGACTCCTCTCCTTAAATGTTAAGAATAATGATTCTTATAATTCTAATTCTTGTTAAATTAAAGCAAATCATCTCTGTTTAATTGAGAGTAGAGAGTACGCCAGGAAAACTTTTGTTTAACTTACAGCTATGATATGTAGCACCTTGTCATACAGCACTATCTTGTACTATATTACGAGGAACTTGCACAAACAGATTAGCTCCCCTTCTACAGCAAGTTTTTGGAATGTGCAGTCTCATTAATTATCTAAGTGAATCTCCAGCTGTATGAGGTGCATTTATTTACACCTACCTACCTCTACAATAAGGTGGAGAGAAACCATTTCTTTTTGATCTTTTGAAGACAGCACTACAGGTCTGAGAAAAATGAGGATAGGTAAAAGTGCAGTGCACTTCCCCAGATTAGTGTTCTCACAGCTGACTCTTCTCTGGCATTCAGACAGGTGGTTGTTATGGCAGGACTGTTCTAACATTGTTTCCTGCAGGGAGCCTTTCTGTATTTGAAATGTCTAACACATGCAAGCAGTAGTTTACTGGGCTCCTTATGTAGTCAATGGAGACTAATGATGCCCATGAAGTAGTGGCGAAGATCCCTGTCAGCAACCAGGAGTAAATAGATGATTGCTTGTCAGCTGCTGACAGTGGAATCCATGTGTATAGTAGCTTGAAGTAAGAATAACTGCAGTTTCTGTGGTTATAGCAGATGTCTACGTTGTCTGTGTAGATTCCACAATTTACTTGCCTTTGCTGGTTCTATGGAGTTTTCCGAGGTCTTATGTGGTGAAAGTACTGAAGAATGATTAAGGCTACTCTGTCCTTCATGTCCTAGTGCAGGAATGGAGAGAAAGTGAAGATAAATAGGCCACATAGGTACTTGCACAACAAAAATGGAGTTTTCAGACAAAACTTCCTAATTACAATTAGTGTAAATCAGAAAAAAGCCCTCTATTTTCACATATTTAAAGGGCTGGGAAGGTAGTATTAAATGTCTTACTCTGTATTTGAGAGGTCCTTCTGGAAAAACTGAACTTCCCAAATGTCAAATTATACTGTTAATATTATGAAGGTTTTGAAAATATTAAACTGAGTACTACTGGTGCATGTAATGCTACCAAATAAATCTGCACATTATGTAAGTGGTTACTGGAGAAGAGCTTGTCTACTAACTTTTTTTTTAATATTTTTTTAATCTTTAAGAATGAAACCAAGAAAAATTAAAGAAGATGATGCTCCACGAACGATAGCTTGTCCTCACAAAGTAAGTGAAATGCTCAGCTTCTGAGTAGGTAGTAATTTGTAGACCAGAAATTTGTATTGATGTTTTCTCTTGAGAATTAATAACTAAAATATCTTGCTGTTAATAGACTACACTCAGTTAACTGTATTTTAGTTATTATTCTTTAGAGGCTTCCTTAAAAACCTTTCACTGAATAATATATTATTCCCATTCCTTGTCTTAAGGTTAGTGCATCCCTAATCTTCTGGTAACCATGATGCACAGTCCCTAACATGCTGGTTTTACTGTTGTGATTTCCTGCCACCCAAGAATACATACTTGAAAGAATGTTCTGAAAGCTGTTCAAAGTACGTTCCTAAGATCTATATATCCTCTGCTTGGAAACTATGACAGATTTGGAGTCTAGATCAGGAATCAGCAATTTATGGTGCAGATGCCAAAGTCAGCATTATTGGAAGACTTTGAATTATATTCCACAGAGCTGGAAGGTGCATCATCTTGAAAGAGAGAAGGAGGCATCTTGGAGATATGATTCTGACGCACTTGTAGTGGGGAATCTTCTGTCTTTGAATAAATGTTGCCAGTCACCTAGATTGGTAGCATCTAGCTTTATTGCATTATCCAGCTTTTGTAGAGCTTCTGTTAGCTGACTGACTTAGTCTGTAATGAAAAAAAGACAAATGCAATCTTGCTGACTTCTGGTCTAGATAAGTGTGAGCCTAAGCAAATAATCAGGGCACATAACTAATAGTACACATTAGAGAGCATGAATAGAAGGCTTCTTTCTGACATCCATAGTCTAAGGAATTTGCTGGATTCCTCTTTGTGCTTATATTGACTTCCAATTCTTCCCATTCTGCAAGTGTCATGTTTTTATTGTAGTATGGTATGTGGAGGTCCAGGAACAGTTAGTCCTTACAATACTGAATAATGCTGCCTTCATTTCTTTAATTTACTTTTTCATAGCTTCAACTTCATCTGAACAGGGGAAAAAAAGAATAGTCGTCTTTCCATTTTCTCTCTTCTAGTGTCCTAGGCTTTGTGCATTTACAACTACAGTTTAAAAAGAAAAAATACTGTAGGGGATGTAACTGCTTCTCTGAAATAAATGAAAAAAAAAAAAGTTCATGGTACATTCTATTTTGGTGCTGCTTGGTGCCACCCAGTTCTGTTATGTGCAATGAATGATGGCACAACACTTCTTAAATTAGCCAAAGAAATTCTAGTGCCTAAGAGAGAACTCTTCCGAAAAGTGGCGTTTCCCCCCTTTTTAAGAAATAAGGCATATTTAAATGTGGTTATTAGTTTTGGGGAAAAAAATCCAAAGAGGAAGCCTGCAGAATTTAAGATTAGCAATTTAATGTTCCTTTAGGTTCTGTTGTCAAATTTTATACCTCATAACACAGTGATGCTGGTGGACTAGTTTTATGTAAGTTTTTAAGCAGCATCACTTGGAGTACAGATAGAATTTACAGTTGTTAATAGGATTTTATGAAGGATTTTGAACCTTGAGGAAGACATTTATAAAATATATAATAGATGTCTATTAATTGTCAGTAAAATGTGAAGAAAAGGTATAGAAAGATTAGGTAAAGAGAGCCCCAGGTCACTGCTAACTTAAGTGTACTCTGGAATCAAAAGTAGTATTCTTGTATCAATGGAGCATGGACCCCAGGTTAACACTTCTGGTGCTGTTCCTGAATTAATGTGAGTATTTTTTGCTTATAGGTTGAGTTGGCACTAACTCAGATTCTCCTACCTTACTCAGTTGCCCAGTATCACTTTGTAGGTTTAAACTGTAGAAGCAGCGGCAGTCTCTTTATATATCTCAAGGTGGTAGTGATCAATCTGCTGCTGCCAGTTTGGGCAAGGTAGTTTCTTTAATCTGTTACATGCTGCACACCCTCTTGCTCCATTTCTTCTCAGGAATGAGAAGGACAGAGAAGGAAGAGGACAGAATATTAGGAGATGGAGTGGTGCACATACAAATTGGTACTAGAGAATAATCTGTGACATATTAGAGACTATATTGTAGTACTCAGAATATAGCACATTGAAGAATATACACCATAGGTATCCATGAACTTTCATTCTGTCTTTTGGGTTGGTTTTTTTTTCCCTGAAACTGTAAGTGCTTTTGTTTGTGTTATTCATTTGCTTCTATCAGAGCTGCATCTTTTCCATGAGACTGTCCTATTATTCATTTGACTGCACATGGTTCATAATATGAAGTGAGGAGAGGGTTGGGGTTTTTTTTTTGTTTGGGATTGCAGTTTTGAGGTGTTTTTGTCGGCTTTTCAAATTATTAGTTTTCTTGGTACTGCTTTTTAAAATGAATGTAAGGGGTGCCCTTTTCAGGGCCAACTTAAAGTATTCAGAGTATTAAAGCATTTTAAATGCTTGTACTGTAGCATATAAAACCTTCTTTATCAGAACTAGCTTATCTACTAATTGAGTTTCACTGTTTTTTTTAAGGGCTGCACAAAGATGTTCAGGGACAACTCTGCCATGAGGAAGCATCTGCACACTCATGGCCCTCGAGTACACGTATGTGCAGAATGTGGCAAGGCCTTTGTGGAGAGCTCAAAACTAAAGCGACATCAGCTAGTTCATACTGGAGAGAAACCCTTTCAGGTATTGCTAACGCTGAACATGTGTAGACTGTAACAGTAGCCTAGTTTCCATATGACTCTGGGGATAATATGTTTTTTCTAATATCAGATGGGGCACTGAATGATCACCTTTAAAACTGGAAGTCCCCTTAAGCTAATTAGACTATTGTTTAACTGTTTCTGTGGGCTTTTGTTAGAAATTAGCAAATGGTATGTACATGGGAGATACTTTCCAAAATATGATATAACGTTACCCACTTTAAAAAATGAAGTCTGCAGTTACTGCTGAATGAGGAAAAAGTCTCTTTCTCCTCATTTCTTCAATTTAACAATTGTGGACAACTGAGACCCAGGGTTGTTTGCTCAGTTGACGCATGATACTAATTTTCAGTAGCGGGTATTAATCAGTTCTCAGCAAAATGATGGTAGTCACTGAATCTCTTTCCATTCACATCAAGTCACGTGAGCTTCTGCCACCAGAGGTCCCCTGCCTACTTCATATGGTACTCCTTATAAATCTTCTTTACAGGTATTCATAGTCTTGAGCGTATCTGTGTTCTCCAGTACATGTTTTAAGATACGTTGGTTTTTTTTTTTTTTTTTTTTTTTTTTTTTTTTTTTTAAATACAGATTATTTCAGAAACTTGATTTGCAGTCCTCAGGCATTCACTTAGATGTGTATGCTGGGTCTGCTGTGTGGTAAATGTAAGTATTTACCACTAAACAAACTGTCCTTTGCATTCCAAGCCCATCTTAAAGCTGATAAAATGAGCAATTCTCTGCAAATGATCATCTAAAGGGAGAAAATCTGACGTGAAACATTGTTTCCGTTTTGTAGTATGGTGAAGCAAAATCCTGTTTGAGATGCAGAGAAGGTGTTTTTATTGAAAGGATTTGCTTGCAAACTGGAAGTGATTTCTGTCTTTGAAAATAGATACAGTACTATAGCAAAACAACTAGAAGTATTTTATTTTTTTAATGCCGTTTTAAAGTGATGCCCACAGCTTCATCTATAACTATCCTCAGCACTTAGCTTCATGTTTGTGCAGTCTAGTGATTTAAAGAATATTGTTCTAATCGATGATTGAAATGAGTACTATTTTATTAGCTAATGGAGTATGTCTTTTCCTTTCAACAGTGTACATTTGAAGGATGTGGAAAACGTTTTTCACTGGACTTCAATTTACGCACACATGTGCGAATTCATACTGGCGACAGGCCCTACGTTTGCCCATTTGATGGCTGCAATAAGAAGTTTGCGCAATCAACTAACCTGAAATCTCACATCTTAACACACGCTAAGGCCAAAAACAACCAGTGAAAGTTGGAGGAGAAAGTTTTTGAACTCAAAGCGTCTTACAGGAATATGAATTGGAAATAAATATGCCTCCCCTTTGTATATTGTTTCTAGGAAAGAATTTTAAAAAAAGAACCCTACAAACCTAAAGGACGTGTTTTGATAAGTAGTAAATAAAAAGCAAAAAAAAACCCACAAAAAAAACTTTAAGGTGACGTTGCTGAGATGCTCTACCTTGCTCTGTAATCCCGTTTCAAGAACACGGTGTTTTGTAAAGTGTGGCCCCAACTGGAGGGGTCAGTTCATGAACTTGCATCAAAAAAGACAATTCTTTATACAACAGTGCTAAAATTGGACTTCTTTTCACATTCTTATAAATATAAAGCTCACCTGTTGCTTACAATTTTTTTAATTTTGTATTTTCCAAGTGTGCATATTGTACACTTTTTGGGGATATGCGTAGTAATGCTATGTGTGATTTCCTGGAGGTTGGTAACTTTGCTTGCGGTAGATTTTCTTTAAAAGAATGGGCAGTTACATGCATACTTCAAAAGTATTTTCCTGTAAAGAAAAAAGTTATATAGGTTTTGTTTGCTATCTTAATTTTGGTTGTATTCTTTGATGTTAACACATTTTGTATAATTGTATCGTATAGCTGTAATGATATCATGTAGTATCAAATATTAGATGTGATTTAATAGTGTTAATCAATTTAAACCCATTTTAGTCACTTTTTTTGGAGAAATACTGCCAGATGCTGATGTTCAGTGTAATTTCTTTGCCTGTTCAGTTACGGAAAGTGGTGCTCAGTTGTAGAATGTATTGTACAGGCACTGACCTTTTATTAACACCTGATAATATGTACATCCCATGTAATAGAAAGGGCAACAATAAAACAGTGGTCCTAAAGAAAGAATATGGCAGAAAATGATCTGTAAGCACAGTCTATTTTCTTTTGTTGTCCAGAGCAGTCCTAGTTCCTCTTGAACTCCCAGAAATTGGAAGCTAAATAAACTCAAGTTTCCTTTACTTTGCATTCAATTACAATGATTTCTGATGAAATTACATAATGCCATGTCAGGTGGTATACTTACACAGAATTGCTGACTGTAATTCTGGTTTTGAGTGACCTAGACTTCCATTAACTGAAATGGTGGATTTGGAGACTTGGCAGTGTAATAGGGAGTTTTCAATGTGCCTGGACAGCATCTAAGTAAAACAGTACAGTAAATAACTAAATGGGCACCTGTGTTTAGTCAGGGTTAAGAATCTTGGAGGTTTAAATGCAGTAACAATAGGAAGTGGGGGCATGGTAGAGTTTGAGTGTTTGTCCCAGAAAAGAAGAAAATTGTTTTTTTTCTTTTGGTCGCCTTGTTTGAGTATAATGATGAAAATTCCTGGAACCTATTTGGACACCTTTTGCTTCAAAACAGGAACTCAGGAGTTCTTGGAGAATTTGATGGTCTAACCAGAAGTGATTACTACTCATTTGTTCAAGTGTTCAAAGCAACAAATTTGCAGATACTATAGTAAAATGTGACAGATTAATAAACATAATATGCACAGAAATGCGTATTATTTGTTAGAGGGATGTGACGTACTCTAATGTAGTAAAAACTGTTGCTAATATTTTTCTGAATTCTGTTCTTAAAAAGTTCATCAACTTTTTCATTGCTAATACTGTAAAACTCACTTTCGAGTTCAGTTTTGGTGGTAGTGGAAAAAACATCTGTAATAATGAAACTACATTTAAGACCAAGGGAATTTTCATCTGTATGCAAGTTAAGCTGAACACTGCAGCCCTAGGCTGAGGCTATTAGGAGTAAAAGGAAAGATGAGACATTTAACTGTAAAGTATGCATTAAAATTTTGGCAGTGGGTTTTTTTTTATATATATATATATAAGCAGTTCTTGAACAGGACAATATACTGAAACTTGTATAGTTATAGTTAAATTAAATTCTGTATACAGTTAAATTAGTGTCTATTCTTTTTGGAAGGAAATAAAATCAGTTCAGTCTAGTTCTAATTGACCTTACATTTTTTTTCTTAAACAGTGTATATGATGGTGTTAGATTTGTGCAGAAGTTTGTTTTCCTATGTCATAAAGTGGTACCAGTTTTATTGAATTGCGAGGTAAAGAGATTCCTTGATGGTGTCAGTACTTCATCCTTGGACATACATTTGAGACTAAATTATTTATGTTAAATATTGATTTAAGAATTAACTGAGAACTGAAACTTGTATTGCCCCTAGTTATATTGCATCTGATTACAGAGATCTGAAAAATTTTCATCTAGGCCTCAAATCAGTAGCATTCAATACACTCCTGAGTGTAAGTAGCAACACTTAGTAGCATGAACGATCTTGCTTTGTACCTAGTTAATTCCATATTGGGCATGAATAAACACTTGCATTGAGCAGCTTCTGTAAATTATTTAAGCTTTTAAAGTATAACTGGCACGTCTTGTTCTTAAAACATAATGCTTAGTTGATTACAGAGTTCTTCTCATGGATTTTCAGTGAAGAAATTACAAACTTTGAGAATAGCAGCAGAGCTGACTTTGAAGCCACCACTGACAGCCTACTATTCACAAGTTCCTGCATTATTCCACCAGTCTGTGAGCAAGTTCAGGTAAGGGGAGGAGAATCTGAGGGGTGGGGGAGAAATGTAGCCAGTGGTTTTAAAGCTGGAAAGTGTTGTAAGTTCTTACTCATCATGCCTGTTCTGTTCATTTGCTCTTACATTCCACATTATCCTGTCTGGTTCTGCTGTCAAAATGGAAGGAGACAAATTCTGTAGCTGTGTATCTTTTGGACTTAGACCATTTTTTTTTTTTAAACAGAGCTGATTATAGCTTTTTCTAGCTGTATCTCCTTGTGGTCTGCCAGTAGCAGTAGGTCCTGCTTTAAATACAACACAAACTGAACTTCAATATCTATTACTTTTGGAGATTGTTTTTCTTGAAAAGGTTGTAGGAGGAACCCAGGTACAGATTTGAAATGCTAAGTGAATTAATTGTTAATGAAATGGAATGTCTCAGCTGAACTTGCACTTGATTTTTAGTTACCTTCTTTTTGAAGATAACTGGGGTAATGCAATCCAACTTCCCCCACCCTGCTGTGGCCACAGGTTGCCAATCAACAAAGCCAAATACTAAACACATTCTAACAACATAGCTCATCAGCAGTAATATAGTTTTAAAAGCAGATGGAGATCCTCCTCTCTTAATCCCATAGTAGGTACAAAGAAAAAGAAGCAGTAGTTAATAGAAATGGAAAAATTATTGAGGCTTTTAAATGTTTGAAGAAAGTTAATCCCTTCAAAGTGCTATATGAAGATGAATGACAGTAGTAATAAAAGGTGTTTCTGCTTGGTCATCATCTGCCCTAAGGTGTTCACAGGATATTTTGTTAGTGCATGCCTTGGAAAAACAGATTGATTAGTCTTCCAGTTAAGATGGATGAACTGGAGGACAGTATGTGCTAAAGAGCATCCCTTTAATGACTTGAAGAAATGGACAAAAGTGGGATTTTTTTTGTCAGGGCTACTAGAAAGATAAGTCTAGGAAGACTGATCAGTGAAGTAGTAGGTGTTACTGGCATTGGTTGATCCAGTCATTCTATAATGATGGCACTTTGGAATAATAACTTTTTAATCTGTACAGCACCTTTACTAAGTGTGTTACAGTGGCTTGACAAGAGGAGGGAAGTAAATGTGTCAGCATTAAGCTTTGACTTCTTAGTAACTGCACTAATGATCTTGTATTGCTTAAAGCTATGGTGAAATAAAAGGTCCTTCAAAAGCTTCTGAACTTGGGGTGGATTTCAAAACTGAATAGTGGGTGTAAATTTTGCAAGCAGTAATAAAAGTTGAACTTGGGACCAGTACCCTTATTCATAGCTGTGAAAATGAAATAGTTGAAAAGTAGCACTTTCCTTGGGAAGAGTTAAAAGATTTCTTATATCAGCCTTTTTTGGAAGTCCCAGGGCAAAAGAAAGGGAGAGTGATGTGAGGAAGAGGGTCTGAGACCCCACTGTAGAACAACAACCAGAAACATCCACACAGTGAGTGGTCTGTAAAGGTACAAACAGAGGAGATTGTGTTCTCATGAGACTCAGTATTAATTTTGATGATGTGAGTTGATCTAGTGTCTAGTTGAAAGAGGCCAGTGATGTGAAGAGGTTACAGTTTTGCTTAAATGCCAACGGGGTAGCTTCATTTTGTAAAGTAATTTAATCAGTCATCCTGAACTCAATTTCACTTTCTTTGCCTGAAATAGATGAGCTTAGGTAAGTTTATGTGTATTCACAATTGTCCTGTATTATTAAGGCAGTTTTGCTTAGCATGTTTTTCCAGTAAGTTTCTTCTTTTGGAGAAAGCACATCAGATTCAGTATGAGAGTTGGAGTGAATTTTTCCGGTCCTGGCTTCCCCTAATGTAGCAGAAAAACACTTTTGCTGTAGGCCAATGAGTAAGATCACTTAAAACAACTGGTTTTCAGACAACTCCAATTTCAGGGTATTTTTAAAGTATTCTGTTACTTTTTTCTAACAGAAAAACTTTAAGATTGAATGTGCGTTGGATACAATTTCTTGTATTATGTGTTACAGTGTGGACATAATATCCATTTTGTGAGCTACTGTTCTCACCAGGTTCCTGTGTAAACTGAAAGCTCTTCAAGAGCAAGCCTGAGGTTCTCTAGAAGTGTTGGTAAATTTTGGGAGGGAGGGAAACGGATAGAGTGTCTGTGGGGTCCTTGTAGGACTTCTGGATGCTTCTCTTGCTACCGCTTTTGTATTGTGTCCTTGTAGATTTAAGTGTGATTTCTCTCTAATCTGGCTGATACTAGGTAGCTTCTATGCCAGTGCTTTATTTCAGTGTGTACAGATACTCTTGAATAGTAGTTTGCCAGGAGATGGCAGTGAATTACCAGTTTGTACAGCATGACCAGCAGACAGAATAGTGAAGTGTCAGGTTGCCCCTGTGAGGTCAAGTGTGTGTAGGGTGTCCTGTGGTGTTCAGTAGACCTTGACAGACTTGGAACGTGTCAGTGTCAAAGAGCAAGTTTCCCACACACCAGTGCAGAAGAATAAGAAGTACAACTCTGTGCCGATCTCTGAGAGTCACAAGCATACTTGTGCATTCATAAAAAGCACCAGCAAGGCAACGAAAATAAAGAATGTAAATAAAAACTGTTGAGTGTGACATGGATTATATATATTTTTAGGGGATATATACATCCAAACTTAATAGCAAGTATCTTTAAAGAGAAATGTGGAAATCTAATGATGATGTGTTAATGAATGTGCTTTCAACTGTAAGTGGCTATTTTGGTTAGCTGACAGACCCTAAAGCACCAGTGTTCAATCTAGCAGTGGCTTCCTGAAAAGCCTAAGCTTGCCCGAGGCAGGTAGGACCTCATAATTTGATTTTTTCCTTTGGTGTGTTGTTGCTCCTAAGGTTTGCAAGAACATTGCAGAAACTGCAGGACAGATGTTGCACCAGAGAATCCTGCATTGCTGCTCTTTAGGGAATCAAATATCTCAAACTGGTTCTGTCTCTGGAGCAGGCCCACTGTAAAGGTGTATTTCAGAAGGATGCTGTTTGTGAATAACAGTATATTTTTCAGATAAATTTTAGAGACTAGGCATAAAATGGATTCCTTTTTAAATGGTAAATCCATATACAAAAAAGCCTGGTGACTGTATGTGTCCTAGTGTATTTCAGCTAAAGCTCATCTCAGCAATTGGTTTCAAGAGGAATCTCTAGAAAACTTGTACTAGTTTTGATTTAAGGGCTCAAAGTCAGGTGTCCAGAGCTGCAAGACGCTTGCCTAGGACCTCACTAGCCTTGCAGTTTTGGCTTGCAAAGTAGACTGCCTCATATGTGGGGCATCATGCAGCTTATGTTTTGACTTATTTTTCAACACATTTGTTTTTTCTTAGCAAAACAGAAGATTTGGCCCCTAGATGTAGAATCCATCAGTCTTCAATCTTAACCGGTGCTTTGACTGAACCTCCAATGGATTTATATGAATCCAGTGACTCCCATAGCTTGAAAGGGCATGGAAATGTTTATTGTTTGGAAATGTAAAGAATCGTACTATGGCAGGTCTTCACGTATTCCTCTTGTGTGTTTGTTGTTAGTTTTTGTTCTTTCCTCTTGCATAGGTTAGAGATAAGGGATTTAATCTCAATTTTTTTCAGAGTATGAAGTGAAAGTATACAGTCTCTGAGTTAAGAACTGGCAGGGAAGCAGGTGTCTGCCTGGAGGAGATTTAAGGAGAAGAGAGTTATTTTTACTTTTACCTCCTTTAATTGCAATTATTAAGCTTGAAATTTATTACTAGCCTGTTTGAAAATTACCTGTTGTAGACTCTTCTGTAAGTGAAAATACATCAGTGCACAAGAAGAAACTGTGTGGCCTGGTTGATTGCAACACTTGAGTATACCTGTTCTAGGTTAAATCTCTGCTTAAGACAGCTACATCAGGTCCTAGAAAAAGAATACTAATTTTCTTTTATACCACTTTGGCTAAAAGTGAAGCTAGTCTAGCAACAGTTCTTCCTATTGTGATATATTTAGCAAATGGTGCTGACCACGAGGTCAAGTTTCATTATGATTTTGATATTTTATTGACACGTGGATATGGTTGCAATGGTAGAACTCTATTTTACTGTTAGTGAAAAACACAGATGGTTTCTTTCAGTGAGAAAAGCAGTCATAATAAAGAAATGAGTGAATGATACCAAGAAGCAGTTTAACTGTTAGATGTAAAGTATTACAGACCTGAAGAATGTTTTGTGAACACTAGCATTTACCTTTCTTCCATTTATACCAATGTATAGGGTATTATTTTTCACTGCAAACCTTGTCTTGCTTTCTTTCAGTTTATTTATTGATGAAACTGTAAATCTTAAAATCCCATTCTAGGTTAAAAGTGATAATAAACTATAAGTAGACAAGCTTTTACTGTATATAATATGTATTATTGTGCATATTATGTCACTAATATTTTGGGGTTTTTTTCCTGTTATTGATAACCATTTTTGTAATTAGTGAGAATAGCACTGATACAAAAAATGCAAAACTGTTGCACTAGCAGGATGAAAATGGGTTATTTTCCTTTGCTTTTCTCCCCCACTGCCCATGAACATAATTACTGAACGCTGAAAGAAGCAGTTTGCTTCCTTGTGATTTCGAAACCTATCTCCACCTGGTTCCCTGGTTCCCTACTCTCTTGCTCTGTCTCCCAGAGTCATAAAGTCCCTTAGATCCTTCATCTGACTCCATGGCTGTGGTGTCTGGTATGGCATGTTGCCTTGGGTAAACTGCTGTTTTTCTGGCAGAAGAAAGGTTTAATTTCACCTTCTGTTAAATCTAATGGTGTTTGGCACACTCATGGGTTTTAAGTTGTTCTTTAACTATCCGCAGATCAAAAGTCTGGCTAACAACAGCTGTTAACACCTGTTTTCCAGCATAATAGTAAATATATTTAATTTCAAGGAACAAACACATCTCTTCTCCGCATGGTCAACTATTTATACTTGCATCTTGGTAACTTTTCCAGTCTGCTACCTGTCCTACACCTGCAATGTACAGGTTTTCATCCCATGAATATCTTGCTACTTTTTCACATGAACTGTAAAAAATAGGCAGAGAAAGGCGAGGAAGAGAGGACAAAAAAAAAAATTATGAATACTGTCATGTTACAGTTGCGGACATGATAAATGAACTGAACTTCACCCCGGTAGTTAAATTAATAACTTCTTTAAAACTTGGAAGGGTTGTACCTGGGTGCTTTTTTTTTTCCTCTTGTCCTAATTGAGTATATTTGTGGTTGCAACTTGTAACACTGGTATGACCCATTCACTAGCAGTGTGGGTTCTAAGAAAGAGTAGAGCACAGGGACTCGGTAGTAGGCAAATTTAACTTTTGGTAAGTTTTACCTTCTTATTCTCTTCATTTGTTGGGGTGTTACTAGAATCTCCTACCCAATATGATGCTTATGGGAAGGAGAATCTGGGGAGGCAGAATATAGTTCTGTCTGATTTGAATAAATTGGTGGAGGTATCAGAAATCTAGTAGGGGGAACTGAATCATATTTAAAAAGGCTGAGGCTATTGTCTAGCTTGATTTAAGAGGTATTGCACAGATTTCAAGCAACTGACATCAGACTAGGTTGAAAACTGACTTCTACCCTCCTCTTAGGCTTGTTGAGTAACCTCCAGTGTCTGCTACTGATTATTTCCTTTAAGCTCCAGATGGATAAATTTCTGGAATGTTTTAGCAAATACTGCAAGTAAAACATTGTGTAGCCCTTCCTGTTTTAATGACGTTACTGGCTTTTCAGGAGATACTGTTTGCTTACTCCAAGTATTTGTTTCTGTGCCACAGTTCAATGTTGTTGCTCTTTCTGAGAGAACACAAGGTCCTTGACTGGAACTGCCCCTGCTCACAGTTAGTTGAAGAGGTGACCTTTCCCTTTTCTGATTCAGCAAACTGATGCTTGGTAGTTTCTTTTGGTCATGTGTCTCTACCTGTTAAGAACATGAATTAAGTGAGCCAGTATTTGAAATAACCTTTCATTAGCAATGAGAGGCCTTATTCATAGATCATAACACACATCATCCTGTTTTTTCTGTGTGGCTTTTTATTTGGAATATTGATGCTCTTTGTGCATTAGTTGTGCTGTCTGAAAACAAACTACAATGTATAAAGCTTTTTGCTAAATTTGTGCATTTTAAAGCTAAGCATTCTTCTGATTCAGATATGAACGGTGCTGTTGGCAGACCTGGTCCTTGATTCTGATGTGACTCTACAGGGACTCTAAGGCTCATCTTATACAGTTGTGCAGCCTTGGTGCTGATCAGCACTACTTACACCAAATAAATGCAGAATATGAAGGGCCCAAGCATGCTGCCAGCTCTTTGGTTCTAAAAGCAGGATTGTTCCCTTAGTAGCTGTAACATCTTCAAGTGAAGTACTTGGTGAAAAGATTAGTTTGAAGAAGCAAGCTCAGGCAACTTCCCTTCTTTGCTTCAACAAACTGATACACTGAGCCAGAGCAAGGCACTGCCCTTCTGGGTGGTGCATGGGAGGCAGGTGGGGAACAAGTTTCTTCAGGCAAAAGCCAGAAACCCCACCCTCTCGTAAGGCAGATTCAAAACAAAGAAGCATCTGAATAAAACATAAGAAACTTTAAAGAAGCAAACTCAAAATTTTTAAAAAATTTATTCCCTCAGTTTTATATACAGTAATTACAGACTACTGTACAAAGGTGTAAATGGTCTTTGCTGTGAGTTGTGCATATGCAGCTTAGTAGACAGATCTAACATTCAATTTGAATCTCGGTGCAAGTAGGCACTAAAACATCCAGCATACCTCCAAGGTATAAAAAGACATACCAGTTTTACAGGTTTCTCCAGCATATTTTGTTACAGTGCAAAATGCTATGAAATAAGGTTTCTTTAGAAAATTCATATAAATTAAACACATATTGCACTTGTCCCAACTAAAAGTGTAACAAGTTGTACTTACTGAACTAGTTTGATACAGTTTAGAACATCCCTCACACACATGCACTCCTTCCCCCTGGGTATTTGTGCCAAATATGTGTAGTTCTTATTCCAAATCTTATGTAACTGTTTATAGCTCCTTAACTAATGAAATCCCTCTTGAACATACTGCTAAAAAAAAAAAAAAAAAATCTCAGTGGACCAATGTAACAAAAAAATTCTCCAACCCCATTTTCCATCATCTTTCCAGTAGCACTGTAACTAAATAGATAAAAGTATTGGTTAAATTCGTAATGCAAGTGTATCAAACACCAGCCATTTCAGACACTTACACCCCTGTTGTTTGGAAAGGAATGAAACCTCCAGTTCTAAACATGTACGTATTTCTACAGTACTTCAAGCTGCTAAGCTAACATTGCACCCACAAACATTTTGTGCAATACCACAGGTAGGACTTTGACTTCTGTACATCACTGGCTGCTATGGGGCATGTTGGGAGAACTGGTGCAAAGTTGCATTAACTTCAGAGAACAAAGTCTACTTTAGCTGAATCTAGTCGTTACAATCTGTGCACCCACCAAACGAGACACAGAGGTGAAGGCAAATAACACCAGTCTTACTAGATGTGAGTTTCCCTAAATCCTTACAAGCCTTGAGGTTTAGAGGAACAAGTGCGTATGAGTGCAGATGCTAACTTTGTGCTTAAGATATTTATTCAAAGCTGAAAGGTAAGGGAGTAGCTTAGGAACAAATAATATTTATATATATGGTTTGGTTTGTTGTTGGTTTGGTTTTTTGGTTTTTTTTTTTAGCAAACCAGTATGAAAAAAGTTGTTACTAAAACCACTGACATTCAAAAGCAGAGAAAAAGTAAAACACGTGGCTAGCTGACTGCTAGTCCAGGTCTTAAACAGTTCAGGGTTACCTGCAAAATGCCTCCAACACTTAATGTCCTCCTACTACTTCACCTTAGAGGACTATACTTATTCCTGTTACGTACAAAAAGAGCATTTATTTTCTGAAAACATTTCTGCATTCAACTCGATTCAGTCATTCAGAACATGAGTGGAAGAAAACCTGATATCTGGTACTATGACATTCTCCAGATGCTCTTCTGGAGCCACAACAGTTAACTACAGTACTTTCTAAAGGCAGGTCCCCATCTTACTTGGATACTACTAGATATGAAGTCCTTAATAAGGCAATATGCTGTTTATACAAGTAATGAGATGAAATCCTAGTTTGATGCAGTTAGTTCTTTATACAGATAGCATACATTTACGCCACTTGTGTGGGTTTAAAGAATCTAAACAGCTGGGCGTTGGATCAGGAAGGCCAACAGGTAATGTTCACAAACTAGAAGGCTGCTGGATTACTGGACCTGGTTCACATTCACGAAGGTTGTCTTCTGACCTCATATACATTAGAAACACAGTGACAGTAGCAAAGGTAGCTGCGTTGACAGGAAAAGCACGGAGAAGGGTGGAAGTAAGACCTCTTGTGAACACCCTCCAGCCTTCTTCATGGTAACTCTTTCTGACACAGTCTAAAATGCCGTTGTATTGTGTAACGCCTCCGACTCCATCAGCTTGAAGCCGGGATTTGATCACATCCACGGGGTAGGTTGAGAGCCAGGACACAATTCCTGACATCCCTCCAGAAAACAGCAGTTTGGGAATAACGTAACTGTCTTCAGCTTCACAGCCTAAATACCTGGTCATGCAGTCATAGGTCAGGAAATAAAAGCCAAAGCTTGGCGTCTCTCTTATGAATGTAGAGACCATGCCCCTGTTGATACCCCTCAGCCCTTCCTTTCGATAGATTTTGATCAGACAGTCCAAAGAATTTTTGTAGTTCTTTGTTTTTAGTTTGTATTCACCTGTTCCTTGAAGCTGCATTCTTGTCTTTGCCAACTCCATGGGACAGCAGATGATGCACTGGATAGCCCCTGCTGCTGACCCTGCAAGGAACTGGTTTAGAGGAGTGTCTTTTCCAAGAGCACGAAGCGTGTTTCCTTGTACACCAAATACAAGTGCATTAATGAAGGTAAGTCCCATCATTGGTGACCCAATACCTTTATAGAGTCCAAAAGCCTAATGGAATAAGGAAGGAAAAATCCTTTTTAACAGTGGTGTTGATAACCTCCCGAAACTGTGCAGAACATAGCCTTTCTGACTTTCCTTTGTGCCCTAACTTTCTAACAGTGGCCAGGAGATCAGTACTATCTTGTTTTGTAATAGTAATTTCATTGCTGTCTAGGGCACAAACATCTAAACATTGTCAGCAGCACAAATATATAGTTCAACACATCTAGAAAGTAATCCTAGTCCATCCAGAGAAAAGTTTTCTGGAAAATCTTTATTTTTTAAGTAGCTAAAAGCCTAAAGCCATCCTTTTAGTTATGGTCTTAAAGCTTCAGCAGAAAAAAAAAACTTCACCCATTTCTTCACTCATTGCTCAGATCGCTTGGATTCTCAGAAAATTAGCTATTCAAATAACTTGTTATCTTATTTTAAAAGTTAACTTTTTTTATATCAACTTCCAATTTAGTGATCTTCATGAAGTTTCTGGCAAACTCCTAACTACAATATCTGCCCTATGGTAAGGTGAGGTTCAGAGTATGCTTTTCTCTTGATCTTCAATATTTGTAGCCTTTTTTTAACAACTTTCCCACCCTTCTGATACAAAATATATGAAGATACAAAATATACAAAGCATTAATTTTGTACTTACAGATTCTTGCTTTATGATGGACTGAAAGCAATGGAAGGTCCCACGGTAGAGAGGTTTCTCTACATTTTGAACTTGCAGACGAACCTATAGAAAGTTGTATGAGATACTGATTTGTATGTCAAGAGCAGCCTAATCTGTTAACTAGTGTCTTGTACATGTATCGAGATTTGCTACAGCAATGTATATGCAAGAGCACAGGCTGGAGACTGGAATGCCATATGTGGCAAAATAATTAAGAAATATTCTGTAAGTGTTTTGAATTAATTTTTGGGGTGAAAACATGACAGAGGAAGATTATTAACTTCTTCTGAATATTAAAAAAACATATGTGGAAGTACAACAGGGTACACTTATCTAGAATTTCAGACTGAAGTTTTCCAGTACTGGCTACAATAGGTACTTTCTTCAGCTGCCAAAGATACTTCTGTTCACACTAAGGACTATCTGTATAAATCTGATAGAATTTTATAAAAAATTACAAGTCAAGGATGAAATAAGGATAATTGTAAAAGGATAGGAAACTTTCAACATCATCCACAGTGTTTCTGGCTACAAGACTTAGGACCATTCACTGAGATCTGGGGTTCTTTTTTGTTTGTTTTGGTTTTGTTTTTTTTCAGAGGGTAGCTGAGAACAGGCTCTTAAGATGTCTTCCTTTGCATAAGGAAAAATAAAAAGCCACTTGTCCTTTTAAATTTTAGTCTGTTTTTTAACTTCCTCAATGCAAACAATTTGTGAGGGTATGGCTGTTTCAAGCCTTTAATGTTAGTAATCAGATAACAATGCCAAAACTGAAATGGCATGTTCTGCTGGACAGATAGAAGCTACTGTCACTGGTGACATTAGGAGACAGGCCAATTGCCCAGATGCTTTTAACATTTAATGGGAAAGTCCAATTCAGTTTTTCCTGCTAATTTGTCCCCAATGCACTTCAAACAAAACCAAAAAGCCTCAAAGCTACAGACTTTGTGCAAAACCCTACACTACAATAAACTCAGTAAATTGGTTTCACTGGATTGGGAAGTTAGAAATCTGTCTTTGATCTCCTCCATTGCAGCATGGAGGGCTGCAATGTTCCTCAGAAAAGATGCTTATCAACCATTTAATGCTGCTGCTGCTGCTGCAACTCCAGGGCAAAAAACTTCCAGACTCTCATTCTGAACAAATGAAAAGATTATCAGATCTATGTGAGAAATTCCTAACTGCAAAATATTTTTATCCCTGTTTGCCTAAAGTAATAATGAACACCACCACAACAATAAAAGACTCATGAGTTGATGTGGGTCTAGAAAAGGATTTGGGGACGTGGTTTGTCCAAATTGTATATTCAGGTTAGCTTTGAGGCAAAAAATTATTTCCAGATTTAGGGGGTTTTTATATTCCTACAACCTGAGATTTTATGTTTTGTAAATAAAAACCTTAGTTTTCAGTGTCTTTTTAGTATATACATTAGTGTGTGCTAGCCATACTGGGAGGCTGAGATCACCTTAGGTCTTTCAGGATGGAACAGGGTTTTAAAACTTAAATTAAAAGCATGCTTATAGTGGGATTCAAGGAAAATAAATCTTTTATTACTCAAAGTGACATCCGGGGGGCAGGCAAACTGTTAAAACTGCTCAAGAAGCAGACCCACAAGTCAAGTCCTAAATCTTAACAGGTTGTTGGAATTGCACAAAACAAAAGTTTTATTCCATTTATAACTTACTGATATTGTTTCGAATCCCATCTGTGAAGTCAGGGGACTTCCACACATATGGGCTTTGTGAAAATACAGCACAAGAAGCTTCTTAATTTAACTTTTCTATATGCTTGTCTTTAGTAGTTTAGAATTAGTCATATTCCATATATAGGTTGAAATTCCCAGTGGCAATCAGCTCCCACTATTTTTGTCTAAATTTGTGAAATATTGACCAATTAAGCCTTGCTGTTGTACAAAATATTTAGAATACTGATGAATGAAAATCAGCTCTTTGAGCACAGCAATGACCACATAGGGATACCTGCATTAGCAAACTGCCAGATAAGGCAATGAATGCATATGAAACTTTATTTCATGAGTATTAATGCCATATTTAACAAGATTTTTAGTGTGTACAACTGTAGGAAGGATGAATCATGTACAAAGTTTAACCCTCTATTCTATTCATTGCCCAATATTCTTGCTTTCTTATTTGAAACCACTGTTTCTAAGGTTTTAGGTCCAATAGTAACACATTGTAATTTCCCATCACTAAAGACTTGCATAAAGGTAGTCAAAACTAAGCAAAAAAAATCCCATTGCAAGCAAACCACCACACCCCCAAAATAGTCCAAACATTTAATAATGTATGAAATAAGTGATTTAGAAGTTGAGCAATGAAAATGTCCTGCAAGGATATGTAGTGGGTAAGACCTCAACAACAGTGTGTCTGAGATTCAGTTTTAGAGCCACGGTGTGTGGAAATGTATACAGTCAGAAATGCATACCAGAAAGAAGGTTCAGAATAAGACTTTACATTAAAAAAAAAAAAAAAGGGATATTTAAACCCCGCTCCCTCCATGCCATAGCTGTAGAAGAGGGACACATCAGTTTAAAACTAAAAAGGGAAAAAGCTTTAGAAGTCGTTTAGATCTTTATTTGAACTAATACATTTGGGAATAAATTAAGACTGAGAGAAACAGAAGTGTTCACCTGGGCTATACTTACTAGGTAACTCTCCCGTGATGAGGCTTATCTGTCATCTACAACAAAGTAACACTTTTGCTGTTAATGAAGACAGCCCCTAGCTCAGAAAGTAAAGGCAGTTAAAAGCAAAAAAGCAATTTTATACATTACATCAACAAACCAGGGATAAGGAGTTTGCCAGTTCTGAGATCAGCTCAGTTGTGGGTTTTGCAGGGTGACTTCACTGGCTTAATCTCTCCCTGTGTGTCCCACCATCCCCCTCCCCACTTTGTGAAACATGATCACAGGCCAAAAAAAGAGTTTAAAAGCCAAGACAGAAGTAAAAAGTAAAATTTTGGCTTATCTAAGCAGCTTTCCCATTGTTCAGTTATATTAAAAATTTGCAGTCTAAGGTGACTGCCAGCTAGCCCTTTAAACACTGCAGAAATATAAAAGGGGTTAATTCTTAACATGTATACATACACAACAAGTTACACGATGTTTTTGTTTTGTGATTTTTTTTTTAAAGACTAGTGTTAGTTTTCCCACATACAGTGGTGACTATGCCAACTATAACATAAACATTAGTATTTTCTCTAACAAAAAATAGATAAATGCTTATAATACTTTCTAAAGGGTATGAAAATAGACACGGAGTGTGCCACACTGGATTTCATAAAACATTTAAAGTCATCCAGAAACAAACTATTTTGCACTATTGCAAAGCAAGATGCTTTTTTCTAAAGCCAACACATCTATTTTGCATTGTTTCATCTGCTGGAACTAGCATAAGAGCCACAGTTTTGCAGACACTTAAATGTTTAGTTTCATGCACTAGAAGCTGTTCCACTTTAAAAAACGTAAAAAAACCCCACACATGCTTAACTTTAGTTTGAGCATAGAATTTTAACAGTTTTGCTGGCTTCAGTGAAATGACCCGTCACCTTAAGCATCTAAAACTTGGCAGGATGGGGGTGAGAGACAAAGACAGCTGGCCCTGTACCACTGTAAAAAAACGTGCAAGTCTGAATAATACCATGCCTGAAAATATATATTAGAATTCAACCCAATTACTTAGTCAAGTTTACTATACTCTGAGAAACATACATACAATTTTTACTATTTGAGCAGCTTGCACTTGACTGGCAAGGACTAATATCCACTAGTTAGGAAAATCTGTATTGAATTAATCACGTGCTAGAATATGGTGATGACCTCGGTAACACTATCAGCCTGTTGCATATCTAAATTCAGCAAGGTAGAGGTATTCCAAATGTAGCTCTAGCGGGTGGCATGCTGTCTGCTGCAGTCAAGCGATCTGGTGTATTAATTTAGGAAGGAATATATTGGCATCCCTTCTTCTATTCTTCCAGTGCGAGACTTCGGATAAGGCTGCCAAGGAGTGACTTAAGTTGTCATCCCATTCTGAAAAACGGGCTTGGACCCCTGGCAGTCCTGGCTGAAGTGCCCTCTGGGAGATTTAAAATTTTATCTTTGAATAGGTCTTAGCTACCCTTAGTATGCATAATACATACAGCTAACAGACTGTTAGAAAATAATTTTTAACTTGGAAAGTTATAAAAATATACGGTAATACTTAAAGAGAGGAAAAAGCCCCCAGACAAGCTTCATACTGTGGATTTCTATCCACTTACACCCTTTGGCTAGTGTAACAAATTAATTCTTGAGGAGTAAGTAGCAGAGCTTGAGGGGAAAACAAACCACAAACTTTCAACCTAGTAACAAAAGTAGGTTTGAGGTACAAATGGAGGGAGAGGCAGTTTTAGCAGTTAGTGATGAACAGCTGCAGAGAAGCAAGCTTAGAACAAAATTAAGTTAAATGTAAGATTGTATTTTCAAATACAACACTGTTACTGCGCTCATGAATTCGTAGTTCAGGCAATTTGTCATGTTACTGGGTTGAATCAGACATACAAGGAATTTTTTCACTTCTGAAGAGCTGGAGATTGCCAATCTATAAACAGTGGTTGAAGAGGCTTGCTCCAAGCTTTCCAGCACAGATTTATGCTTCTACAGTGCCTGGGGAATTTTTTTTCCTCCCCCACTCCTTGGAAAAACTAAGTTTTCTACCTAGAGATATAGGTATTTCATAATCAACCCACCTTAACAGTGTCAAATGGGTGTCCTACCAGCACTCCGGCAGCACCTGAAACAAAACAAAGGCTACGGTTATGGCTCAGGGTTTTCTTCCTGGCTCTGGAGCTACAGTAGCCCAAGCAGAACCACCAGCCTGAGGTGTAAGTGCACAGCATCACTGGCAGGCCAGGTAAAGAGCATCCTATCAAGGCAGAAGACATCTACAGTTCAGTCCTTCAGGCTAGTACTAGGTGCCTTTATGCTCCCATCAAGCTTCTGAGCCCCAGGCAGGGGTTGAGGTGTGTGACTACAGATCCTGCCACATCATATGGGATGTTCAGCAGTGACTCCTGGCCTCAGCCCAAGTCAAGTCCAATGGGCAGAAATGGCAGATTTCCTCTGAAGCTAAGTGTTTCACATATATGCCATTCTGTGGAGGCACAGAAAACCTGGAATCTCCTCTAAAAGCAGAAGAAAATCCCTGCTCACTAGACACATCCTTTCCAGATGTGATGGGAGCACCTGCAGAAGGATCATCCATTACCAAAAACCTTCACTTTATTCTAGCATCAAAGGACTTTTTAGAAGCTATATGCAGGCCTGTTAGTTTTACTAATCTGAATACATGAATTTTGCAAGTACTGGCTGAAGCGAGGAATCCTCTAGTTCTGTATTTCTGTGAGCCACCAATCCGTTTATGATTGCTGACAACAGCAAGAACTGCTTCCGTGCACTGTCTCACATTTGCCGAAAGATAACTTCCCTCCCTCTTCCCGAGAAGAGATGGCAGAAATACAGTGTCCACTCTAGGATGGTGTAGTCCAGGTTGTTCAAGGCCAGCACAGCAGCAAGATAGTCCAAGTCACAAAAATAGTGATAGGCACTGTGTTTGGCATGAAAAGCCCAGGAGCACAACTGACCATGCAGGATCCCTGACAAGGCAAGGATCGCTAGGATGAAGTCAGACAGAAGCTTAAAAAAAAAATAAATCTGCCAGGTTGGCAAGGAGAACAGCAAATGCAAATAACTGAAAAGATGCAGGAATAAATCTCCTGAACACAATTTAACAACTGCTGAAAACGGGCGGAGGAAGGCCGTTAGCAGATGCAGAGGGAAGAGCGAGCCGAGCACATGCATTCTCTCCTCCTCTTCACGTTAAAGCTCCCCGCTATAAATATTTTCAGGTCCGCGATGCCTGAGCCTGCTGCTGCCCGGCCGCTCACCCCGGGGCGCTCCGCCCCCAGCCCCGGCCCCCCCGCCGCTCCCGGCCCGCGGGCAATCCCCGGCGCTGCGGCACGGCCGTGGGGCAGGAC